AAGTGTGAAAAACAGCCAGAAGTCACTGCCATTATACCTTCAAATGGTCCCTAAACAAATTGTTGTAAGTCAAGGACTACTGGTACTGTTACGATCCATTAATTGCTTGGCCAAATTTTAACTATTAAAAATATATATCTTTCTCTTTCCTAAACATTTTTTTCTCTAGAACTTCATTAACTCTAAAAACGAGTCTCCGATTTTGAGAGGCAGTGTTTTTTCCCATTTATTTTTATGAGGAGCTGCAAAAGAAGTTGACACTAATTAAAGATACACTATAAATACATCTGTAAGGCTAGAATTTTGACAAGAAAAAACTAATAATATGTTGGAGGATGTGACTGAGAACTGCTAGTTTCACCTAATATATCCAGTGGCTTCTTTTTGACATGGACATTAATTTATTAGAACTATTATGCTTTTCAAATGGGAAATAACTGAGAGATAACTCTACCCTGTAAGGATGGTGCTGACCTTAATGATGAGGTGATGCAGGTTTCTATGTTTGAAAGAAGATTAAATTGGAATCCATTAAACCTCGTTAGGCCATAAAGGCAAAACTTGCAGAATGCAAATAAGTTGCCAATGACTTTTTTTCCGTTTAAAACTATCTGTAAATGAAACATTCCTCCTAAAATCTCTCATTCCTCAAAGAGCTGAAGTAAGCATAAGAAAAGCAGATTCATGGATTGCTCAAATCAAACAGCCCCAAGCAATTTTGTCCTCTCTGGGTTCCCATATGCAGGAGAACTTAAGGTCCCCTTGTTTCTCTTCTTCTCAGTCATGTTTGCACTCACTCTTGCTGGAAATTCACTGATCATCTTGGTGGTGATCTTTGACCTTCAACTGCACAAGCCCATGTACTGGTTCCTGTGTCATCTTTCCATCCTGGACATGGCTGCCTCAGCTGTGGTGGTCCCTACAGTTATTGCAGGATTCAGTCTTGGGGGGAATATTATCTCTTTTTCTGGATGTGTGACTCAAATATTTTTTTTCAACTTCCTGGGATGTGCAGAAAGCCTTCTCTTCACCTTGATGGCTTATGACCGCTTCTTGGCCATCTGTAAACCACTCCACTATGGCAACATCATGAGCTGGAGAGTCTGTCTTGTCCTCTCCTTGGGTACCATAATTGGTGGCTGCCTCAACTCTACATTTCAGACATCGCTCACTTTTCGCTTGCCTTATGGACAAATAAATTATATTGACTATGTCTTCTGTGATATTCCTGCCATATTGAAGTTGGCTTGTGCTGATACAAAACTTAATGAGTTGATGACCTTCATTGATGTTGGTCTTGTAGCAATGACTTGCTTTCTTCTTATCCTAGCATCTTATGTTTACATCATCATGGCTATTCTAAGACTTAGTAGTATTGAAGGACGGCGCCGAGCCTTCTCAACTTGCACTGCACATGTTAGTGTGGTGGTCATATACTACCTTCCTGTGGTGTACCATTATCTGAGACCAGCTTCTCAGGGCTCCATGGATGGTGTGATAAGCATGTTCTATACCACAGTAACCCCTTTGTTGAATCCACTAATATATACTCTTAGGAACAAGGAGATAAAAACTGCTCTGCTGAAACTCTGGGGTGGGAATGCAGAGTAAGTAGCAGAAAATATGTAAAATAATTTTATATTTATTTTTTTAAAATAAAAATGGTGAATAGTCATGTTTGTTTCAAGTTTTGAATGTGTAAATTATCCTATTTTAGGGACTCTTCATCTTTGAGGAGCTGTTAAGAAATTGATGGAGCCAGGTTAAGTTTTTTAAAAGTGCAGACAAATAACTCCTTTCATATGACCTATGCGGTTTTGTGTCATCTTTCTTTCATAATTCAAGGAAGTATATCTTGTTTAGAAGGGGAAAGAGAAGAAGAAACATAAGTTGGTCCAAAGAAAAAGATTCCAAAGATCCCCCTGGAGTAATCTCAGATAGAAGGGAATTCTGCAGTGCCTCTGAAGGAAGTGAAGAAAGTCTGAAGTTTACATCATGGAGCCACAAGTGTTTCATGAGTTCCTCTCCTGGACAATGATGATCCATCCATATTTTAAATTCTGATGCTCATAATGTCCTTGGTCCAGTAACCTATGTATGTTCTGCTCTCTTGGGCACAGTGGTGGATGGATTCCAAGAACTCATCTTCTCCAATAATATAGGAAACATGGTCCCTCAAACCCTTTCCTGACAGTTGGATGGAGTTCCACTATCTTCCAGAAGACCTAATTCCAAAGTGGTATCAACGAATGCAAATACAACAAAATAGAGAGAAATAGAAACACTAATTAGCTGCTGTTTTTATTGAGGCTCAGTGAAAGCTACCAGACAGTTTATATGAATTTACTGTTTAGAAACGAATGCTTTGGGTGAATTATTGTTTCAATCAGATATATTGTGGCTTGTGAAAAAAAATACTTTGTTCTTTGATGTTATATTCATTAAAGCACAAGAAATAGCAGATTTCTACATTTGGAAGTTTTCTGGAATGTAGTGACATTCATAATAAAATCATTGTCTCAGCAATGATACTCTTGCAATGATGTTAATATTTTTCTGAGGAGCACAGTGTGTTGAAATAGATTACCTTTCTGTATATTCTTGGCAGGAATGTAGAGATCTGTGTGCAGCAGTCTCCTATGGAAAATTATCAAATGTCATGGTTCTATTAAAAAAAAACACCAAGATTTTATTTTCCACATGAACTTTCCTTGAGGAGTAATTGGATCCTATATTCTGATTTTCTTCTAAATTGTCAACATTCAGCCATACCTTCTCTTCTGACCGGTCTCATTTCTCATCTACATTGCCTTTTTCTTGCATCCCATTTGTGGGATTGTCTCAGTCTGATGTTCCTGATCAAGTTTTGACACTTAAACTATAGTCCCTTACTGTGAGAGGACCAGTATGGTATAGTGGGTTAAGGCATCAGGCCAGAACTAGGACTTGAGAACTAGTCCTGCCTTAGGCATGAAAACTGTCTCAGTGACTTTGGATCAATCATTCTCTCTCTCTCTCTCTCTCTCTCTCTCTCTCTCTCTCTCTCTCTCTCTCTCTCTCTCTCTCTCTCTCTCTCTCTCTCTCTCTCTCTCCCCATAGGCTATGGGAAACCACTTCCAAAAACTTTTCAATAAAACTGCAGGGATTTGTCCATGCAGTCAATAGGAGTCCAGATTGCCTTGAAGACACCCTTACTTGGTTAGCTTGGATGGAAGTGTAGATTTGTGATGTGTATTTTAGGGTCAGGCAACCTCAAATTTTTATGCCTGAGAATTCTATCAGTATTTTTACAGATAAACAAGATGCACCTCTAGATATTTTTAAACTTCATTTTCCCCGTCATATTGTAAACATTTAAGAAACAAGGATTTCCTTGTAGAGGAATGTGTTCTATAGCATAATCATTTATTTATGTTGGTTTAGCATCAGATTTTACAGCAACTAGCTATAGGCAGTCGTTGCCATTCAACCATAATGGAGCCTGCCCATTACGGTCATATGTCGAGATGGTTGTAAATTTGTTGGCCACCTGATCAACTCCTTCATACAACCTTTTTACAATGGTTGTTAAGTAAATTCCATAGTCATTAAGGGAACCCATAGTTCACAATGGGGCCAGTTTTGCTGAAAATTGGAAATAACTGCCAACTTTCAGCAAAACTGTCTAAAACACAGTCATGTAACTATGAAACAATGTAAACAGCCATAATTGTGGCTGTGTTGCCAAGTGCCTGAAGTTGAGTTATGTGACTACAGGGAGTGACCATTAGAAGTCTGGAACTGAATCATAAGTGACCCCCATGTAGTTATGTTGTCACTATCAATCATTGATGTGCCAGTCATAAATTGAGGATTACCTGTATTCAGAATGCAACCTTTCTATAATTGGAGAATTAAAGAGGAAACAAATAGGTCTTGAGTGATTCATAGATTTGCTAAAGAAGACACAGGACCTCATCTATGTTCTCAAATGACATTTCAAGCAATTGAAAGAGCAACAGAAATGACTTGATTGTAAGGTCCGCCTCATCTAATACTCCCAAGAAAGCAGAACTCTTGAAAGTGGCATAGTTTCAATAGGAACCTTTATTGGAAGATAGTGACAGCAGAGAAGCAAGGCAAGATATGAATATTTCCCATGCAAAAATATTGCATTAAGCATTCCTGTATAACCCTTCTCCAGTGCCCAACTGTCCAGTTTGACTGGCCAATCCAAAGGTCTGAAGTTGTTATGGGAACCAGTTCTTGCACACCTCAGTTTCCTCCCAGAAAAGTGGAGATAAGGCAGATGGCCCTAGGCACATTCCTCCCTCCCCTTTCACACCCAGCAAGATACATCAAAGTGGAAAAAAACAAAGTGAAGGAAATACATCCTAGAGCCCTCTTTCCCCAGTACTAAACTTCCCCCCTCCCAACGGAATAGCAGAACCCCAAATGGCATGCAGTAAAAAAAGAATTAAGTCGAAATGAACAAATGAATGGAGGGTGTGACATTGATCTTAGTAGCGAAAGGCAGACTTTTACTTCATATCTGTGGCAAAGGAAAGGAACATCCACAGTAAAAAAAAATCAAGATTTTGGGTTTCTCAAGTCTTCCATCATGCAATGATAGTCAAGTTCTTTTCTGCTCTTGAGATGATCAATCATTGCTTGACCAACCATTTTTCTTCAAGCACATCATGATGTTCCACTGGTTCCTTTAAGTGCAATGTGAGATTACCTTTTCATTTAATTAGGTTTTCATAAATAAACTACAAGATGAAGGAAGAGAATTTGAGAATTTGTTCTCTGGTATGATTGGATGCTGGCCTTATTGCAAAGGTGGGGTAGCAATCACCCTTGTGTCATATGACTTTCTTGGGTCAACAAATTCTGACCCGGAATGGGAGAGCTCACCACAGTCAACTCACTATGGCCATCTTGCCATGAGACAGCTCACTGCAGGACAATTCAAATATTCAATTTAATCATTTAAAATAATTTACAATTATTTTAATTTTTGTCATTTATATTTCATTTTGTTCCTCCTTTTTTTAATGATTTCCATTCCACTATTTCTTCATTATTAGTATAATTCTTGTCCCGTGGTGAGTTGTCCCATGGCGTATTGTCTCACGGTGAGTTGGCCACAGCAAGTTGGCTGCAGCAAATTGTTCTAGACTCTGATCCTGACCAGCTCATTAGATCTAGGTGCAATGGCTTAGAGATACTTCTCTTCCCTTAAAACAGGGGTATCAAACTGCTGGCCTGCGGGCCAGTTTCATCACACTGAAGTCACGCCCATCTCATTGCCGGCAATGCAAAAAGAATCATGATACGTCACGACATGTCATGTGACATGGCGAGTTTGACACTCGTGCCTTAAAGCAAACTGTGTTGCCTGATCATCCATTGCCTTTAATTCTAACATTGTCTTCATCTGGTGTCAGGCCCCAAAAACCAAGAATGACATGAAAAGTTACAGTATTTCTGAGTAGTTGATTTATTGTTGTTTGCCTATGGACTGAATCTTGCTACACTAAAGCATTTGTATAACTACAGATATACTTCTAACTATAGACATACTGCTCTCTTTCTGCCTCCCAGAAATTCCAAGTTTCACTTGCTCTTTGATCTCTGGAAAGGAGTCCTTCCCTTCTGCAATTCCAGGTTACATTCCACCACATCTGGAGTATAAAGAAAACCTGTATAAAATGTTTTATAGATGGCACATGACACCAGTAAGGTTAGCAAAAATGTTTAAAAATGCTTCAAATAACTGTTGGAAATGTAAACAAAAGCCAGGTACCTATTATTATATTTGGTGGGTATGTCCTAGTGCAAAGAAATTTTGGTTTAAGATTCATACATGGCTGGAAAAGATGACTAAAACACAGATAGAATTTAATCCAGAATTGTTCTTGTTAGGAATACTAGCATCTAATTACGGGAAAGAGAACGAGTATTTAATATTACATATATTGACAGCTGCGAGAATAGCATTTGCCCAATAGCGGAAAAATGAAGATTTACCATCTGATGAGATTATAATTAGGAAAATCCTAGAATGTGCAGAAATGGACAGATTAACACTAGAGGTTAAAGAGAAAGAAGACTCAGTCTATTTTAAAACATGGGAAATTTTTTTACCAATGGTTAGCAAAATGAGATAATGAAAACTGCTTGTAAAACCTATTAAGATGATTGACTTTCTTTTTTGATTAATTGATAGGTTTTATAATTTTTTGTTATTTTTTTTTTACTACAGTTACTTATTATTATATTAATTAACCCTGTTGAATACTTGTATCTGGACAATAGTTTGCTTGCTAAAGTGTGGAATGTTATTGGGGGCAACCCCATTGCTGTACCCATTCCCACCCTAATCTCTTCCTTGAACCCTATCCTGAATCCCACTACCTATAATGATCTTTGTTTTCCCTTACCCTGATAAAACTTAATAAAATATTGGGGGGGAAGGATCAGGAGAAACAGACAAAAAAGCTCAAGGATTTTAAGTAGGAGGAATATTATAATTTATCAACAGTAATACTGTATAGCATAAGGATTTTAGGAGAAGAGATATATAATGCTGAGGATAACAGAGAAGAATAACTTTGTAGTCATGTGCAGGATAAAATAATTCTTCTGAATTACTTCCCGTTGGAAACAATAGGATCTTTACTCAATGGCTAATAATTCTGTTGGTTAATTATTCATCTGAATTTTCAACCTAATCTATAGTTGAAAATAATTGTGCCTCAGCTGAATTTCTGGAGATCATAATTGCCTTTCCCCAAAATTAGCAATATTCTAAAATAATTCTCAATGGAATTTGATGGAACAGCATTCAACAGCATTCCTTTCCCTAACTCTTGATAATAAAGACGTTGTGATTAATAAACACACAACATTTAAAAGATATAGAAATGCTGCTAAAAGGATGCACCAGGATATGTAATTCCTTATTTCTTCATTTCAAACCGAGAGTCCATAAATTGAAAGAATCATAATATCTTTATAACACATCTGTAGATGAGAAAGGAAGAGAACACCTCATCCTAATTGAGGATTCAGCAAGACTTGGAATATTATACAAAACTAGAACATAAACGCTTACAACATGCCAATAATTCACAACAGCTGACCATCTTTTTGGAATTGCAACATCTTACTTAGGTATTCATGCAACTCATTCTCTCAGCTGTCATTTTGGAAAATGATCTTAACCTTCTCAATTTGATTGAAGATTTCTCTGGTACAACTGGGAAAAAAAGCAGTTTCTGAAAGGAAAGATCATCTGTTTTTTACAAATTGTCTCAGAGAAACAGAATGACATGTTATAAAGCTAAAAATCAGAAACCACCGAGTTAGTGCACTTAGTATTATTATTATGACCAATGATTTATTTTGCTTGTAGTGATGGAATATTGCTTATTCGTATCTTCAGCAGATCATATCTAGCTGAAAGGTAAGGCAAATATCTGTGGTTTTCCAGTCATTTGTGGGGGGGGAGAGATACTTTTCAAATTTGTACATATTCAGGAGTATTAGAGGGAATTTGCTAAATAGGTTTCACTTCAAGATACTTTCCTAGCAGCTTCCCTTTCTTTGTGAAAGGGCCTGCTCAGAATTTTGTTAGATAGATGATAGATATGAAATAAAAATAATAGGTCTTTCTCCACCACATTGAATATTTATTTATTTAACATTTTTTTTAAATGTATTTTATGTAGCTGCCGGTTAACATGTGACAGAAAGAGGATGATGTTATATTGTTTTGTAAACCTGAAAAAAGTAAGTGAATTCAAGTGATAGAAAATGCACGGAAGCTGTTAGGGATGTCAGGGACCCAGTAGGAAATATCTCCAGACAACTTGTCTCTTAGATTAGTTCATTAAAGACTTCAAGTATATATAAGAATAACTGACACATGGAATGTCCAAATCAATCAGCCCCACATGAGTTTATCCTTTCTGGGTTTCCATATCCACAAGGGTTCAAGCTACCATTGCTGCTCTTCTTTTCAATCATGTTTGCCCTCACCCTTTCTGGAAATTTTCTGATCATCTTGGTGGTGATCTCTGACCTTCAATTGCACAAGCCCATGTACTGGTTCCTTTGTCATCTCTCTATCCTGGACATGGCCTTTTCAGCTGTGGTGGTTCCCAAAGTTATTGCAGGCTTCAGTTCCAGAGGAAAAATCATTTCCTTTGCAGGTTGTGTCACACAGGTATTGTTTTTGAACTCTGTTGGATGTGCAGAATCTTTTCTTTACACCTTGATGGCTTACGACCGCTTCTTGGCCATTTGTAAGCCACTCCATTATACCAACATTATGAGCTGGAAAGCCTGCCTCTTCCTCTCCTTGGGTACCATAATTGGAGGCAGCCTCAACTCTGCATTTCTGACATCACTCACCTTTCATTTGCCTTATGGAGAGGACAACTATATTGACTATATCTTCTGTGATGCTCCATCCATCCTGAAGCTGACTTGTGCTGATACAAAACTTAATGAATTGATGATCATCATTGACATGGGTTTTATTGCAATGGCCTGCTTTTTCTTCATCCTAGCCTCTTATGCTTACATCATCACAGCCATTTTGAAGATTAGTAGCAGTGAAGGTCGACACAGAGCATTCTCCACTTGCTCTGCTCATCTTACTGTGGTGTTCCTATACTATCTGCCTGTGTTTTATCGCTATATGAGGCCAGCATCTCAGGACTCCATGGATAGTGTTGTAAGCATGTGCTACACCACCATCACCCCTTTGTTGAACCCAGTGATATACACACTTAGGAACAAGGAGATTAAAATTGCTCTGCTGAAACTCTGGAATGGGAATCCTGAATAGACAATAGGAAGTATACCCATGTTTATGTTTTTAAAAAGAAACATGGTGAATAATCAAGTTTACATCATCCTTTCAGGGTGGAAATCTGAATTTTATGGATCTACTGAAATTTTCTACCAAACACTCTTAAAGTATGGATATGGCTGCTCAAATTCCATAGAAAGCCACAAGGAGCTCATTGGAAAATTGGGGATAAGTCTGGGCTGTGTCCTTCTTAATCTTGGAGTGAGGATGATCTGCCTAGAGGTGTAAACAATCAGCATCTCAAGTTGGACCAATGGTCCTTCCACCTGCAGGAGGTTTCAAGAGAAAGCTTGAACAGATGCTCAGGAAAGGATCTGAGATGTAAACAATGCTGAAGGAAGCCTAAAGCAACCATGCCCATCAGGTGCTGCTTTGTTCTTCTCCTAGAGAAGTCTTCATCCAGCCAAACCTTGAAAACAATTGTTCACAAAGTCCTTTTTCAGCCAGCTTCTGTTAGCTCTGCTGTCTTTAATACAGGAGAGAAAGAATTCCATCACATCATCCACTGTGTCTCATTAGACATTTCCTGCACTTCTGGCTGAAATTCCACTGCCTCCTACAAGACTTGTGTGAATAGATCTCAACATATAGGGAAAAAAATCAAAGGGTAAAAGAATTATTAGGCAACTAATTTTTATTCAAAAGATACTGTATGGGCGAGTTTATACATGACTGTACCTGTTTGAAATAACTCCTCTGAATATCTTTGTGTGTACATAATAATAATAATAATAATAATAATAATAATAATAATAATAATAATAATAATAATAATAATAATAATAATAATAATAGTAGTAGTAGTAGTAGTAGTAGTAAAGTTGGAAGGGACCTTTGAGGTCATCTAGTCCAACCCCCTGCTCAGGCAGGAAACCCTACACCATTTCGGACAAATGGCTGTCCAGTCTCTTCTTAAAAACTTCCAGTGTTGGAGCTTTTATTGCTTCTGGAGGCAGGTTGTTCCACTGATTAATTGTTCTCACTGTCAGGAAGTTTCTCCGTAGTTCTAGGTTGCTTCTCTCCTTGATTAGTTTCCACCCGTTGCTTCTTGTCCTGCCTTCAGGTGCTTTGGAAAATAGCTTGATTCTCTCTTCTTTATGGCAGCCCCTGAGATATTGGAATACTGCTATCATGTCCCCCCTTGTCCTTCTCTTCGTTAAACTAGACATAACCAATTCTAGCAACCGTTCCTTATATATTTTAGCCTCCAGTCCCCTAATCATCTTTGTTGTCTAATCATCTTCTTCCATGCTGTAAGAGTCTCTCCGATATTATAATCTGAATAAACATTGTTAGTTTGCTTTGTTATGCAGGGAACTTGAGCAATAGAGCACATTGTACATTCAATTTGCAGATACCACGCATAGCTCTTTCTCTCTAAACACAGCAGAGATAGTAAGAAGATAATTATGCAATCTTTTACCCTGACTTGTAATAATACTGACATTTTTCTGGGGAGCAAAAATAATGTGGAAATACTAATGCTTTCTCTTCTGTTCCCTGTCAATAATCATACAGTGCAGCTGTCTCTGTAGTGAGTTACTGAATTTCAGGTGGACACTGCATAGAACTGCACACAAGAAAACTCAAGATTGTAGCTTCGTTGGGGTTCTACATGGGGCTGAAATCACCATGTTGACTTTTTGGACCAATTCTTTGAATGCCCTGGCAATGTATATGTAGGACCTAAAACCATAAGATGAAGTAAGCGTATTGGGGAATTGAAAGAGTTAATATAATATAATAGAATAGAATAGAATAGAATAGAATAATAAAGTTGGAAGGGACCTTGGAGGCCATTGAGTCCAACCCCCTGCTCAGGCAGGAAACCCTACACCATTTTATTTATTTTACTTTATTTTGGTTGCAGGTGTTGTTGCAATGGAAAAGGCTTATCACAAGTCCTGTTTGATGCATCCTTCCTTAGTCTAGGGATCCTGACCTTATGACAGGTTTTGTAAATGGGGGCCCAGAGGTACCTTTCTTCCCTTACATAAATCTATTACCCTATTATACTTATATTTAATATAGAATTTAATAAATTCTCTTTATTTGGATTGGGAGAAAGATGGTACCAATGATGGAAGAACCTTATTGGTTATTTAAAAAGAAGAAAGGGAGGGGAGAGAGAGAGAGAGGGAGATGGAGAGGGAGGAGGAGGATTTGCATAGATTGTCATCACTCATAACGTCTTCCATTAATTATACACTTAAATTCTGCCATTATTCAATGTAACTTGACAATGAAATCAGAGGGAAAATATGGAAAAGAATACATGTCTGGTGTTATAAATTAAAAAAAAATTAATTCAAGATTCTTAGCAAGGGACTGTTTCTTCTGAATATCTCTTTACATGCGTCTCCCATTCTTTAGGAATCTCTTTCATATTTCTATTTCAATAAACTGTCATGGTTCTGATAGATGATACCAATTAAAAGAACTTCAAGGCAAGGAATTCTTCCTCAAAGAACATTTTTATTTCGCTACAAAATAGCGGCACATACAAAGGTGAACCCAAGACTAAATTCCCCTCCCCTTGGTTACAAAGTTGCAAGTTGCAATTCCCACCCCACTTAGAAGTCATAAAACACATTCACCAATTGTTACTAAACGCAGGCAGTCCTCCCAGATCTCCAGCCCACTAAAATTTTATCATTAATGACCTTGGTTCCCATACTTGAGAATTGTTATGGCTAGCTTAAGACTACACTTCCCCTCTTCTTCTATTATAAATATGTGGCAACCGAAAACAAAATGAAAATGGCTTCAGTTCAATTAATTGCATGGTTGACATTAAAATTGTATTTATGTGACTTTATTCATTAAACTTGAAATATAGCACAGGATTAAGAAAACTTGATATTCAGTGTAGCTATGTGTTCCCTAATAAAAATGTCAAATATTTTGACAGGCAAACTTTTATATGATTCCATTCTTTGTTTAAATCTGAATTTTCTCTACTGCAGTTGGAATATTTGGGAAAGAAGCATTCTTGGTATCTTCTGATACTTGATAAATAAGTTTTTAGTCTGCCTCCGTTCCAGTCATCTCAAGGCTAAATGAAACAATTATATATGATTCAACAATATTATCTTTTATATAGGATAAATTTTTAGAAAATGAACAGCAAAATGTTATTATTGTCATTCATGAAAAATTATGTCCAATTTCTATATTTAAAAAGAAAAATAAGATGATTCAATTACAGTGACAATGGGTGCCTCCTTGGCAGAACTGAAGAACCAGACCTTCCTGGAGAAATTTGTCTCTGTGCTTACTAAGTTTCAATATTGACTTGATGGCATATGTTCAAGATTATTGTGTGGCAGTGGACAGCAGCACCCACAAGAGAAGTCAAGATAATGACTCTCTTGGTGTTATGTCATGTGGTTGCAGTCACTATGGTGACATTTAAGATCAAATCTTTGAAAACCCTTTGTCCAGCACAAGTGAACAGGAAGAGGAGCTGAGTTCTATTCATTTGAAATTTATTACGTCTTACCTATACACATGAATCTGGTCTACTAATGGTCAAGACAAATTGCCACTAGATAAGAAACAGTGGAATTCACACAGGGTTGGACTAAGGTCTCTTGTGGGAGCGTACCACCTCCAAACTGATGACACGTTTGACCCTGCTTTCGGGCTCAACCTGGTCATCTCCTACATCAGAGGAATGAACATGATGACTCCTTAGAGATAACTTTTGTTATCCTTTTTTGCAACTATAAATTAATGCAACATCCATTTCCTTGGACCTTTTGTTTCCACTGCAAACATAATTACCAAAATGAACAGGTCCTTTTCCAAATCAAAATTAACATACAATCATAGACTAAAACAAGAAATAAGGTTTAGCCCAAAAGGGAGTACTCTGGTACAAGGCCAGATCAGATCCATTAGAGGTACAATTTTAATAAAGCATACCCAAGAATTAACTGAATCCTGGTGTTTCTTCCTAAAAACACATATATGTATCCAGAATACACGAGACAGTAAGATCTACTATATCATTATGACTTGCGATGTTTCCTGACTAGGGCAGCAAATCTCACTGCCCAAGATGAGTAAAAATAAATCAGGAAAGAGACAAGATGGATCGTGGATTTCAAGACGAAGTCAAGCTTATGATTGATCAAGGAGAAAGCTGAAATTCTAACTATGCATTTGGAGGAGGAAAAAGTTAACCCAAATGGTAAGGCAGAAAAAGGATTGACAATCAATTCTGGAGTAAAAAGAATTGTTCTGAATTAATTCCTATTGGAAACAATAGGATCATAACTCATGGCTAATCATCTCTTTGATTATTATGTATGCAAACTTTCAGACGTACTAATTGTTTGAAAGTAATTGTTCCCCGGTGGACTTTCTGGCAATCGTAATTGCCTCTCTCTTAAATCAGCAATATTTAAAATAACATGCACTACCTCCAGGGAATAAAGGCAGAGTGTTTGCTGAAGAGGCAATATTTTTAAAAGATATGGAAACAGAAGTATCTAAATGCTCCCACCTGGAGAAATAAAGATACATGAGTCTGCCTAATTCTTCACTTCACACTGAAAGGTCATATCAGGCAGGGGTTCATCACAATATCACAACAGACCAAGCTCTCTGGATGGAAAAGAATGAAAACATCTACTCCTAATTGAGAAGGCATCTAAAGACTTGGAATAACATATAAGCTTAAATAGCTCACAACATATAAGCTTAAACCAAGCTAATTTTTCAAAATAGCTGGTTGCTTTTTTTGGAACTTCAACACCTTGCAATTCAGTCTCCCATTTTGTAAAGAAGTTCTTAAGATGGTTTCCTGCATTCCCAGTCTGGTTGAAGAGCTCCTTCTCCTCAAATAAAATTGCAGTCTCTGAAAAGAAAGATCATCTGCTGTACATAAATTGCCCAATGGAAACTCAATGGCATTTTTAGCTATAAAGCTAAAAATCAGAAAGCAAATTGTTTAAATGCACATCAATAGCTTCCATCTGCTATTCTGCAACTGCATTAGCAATTTGTGGCAGTCCTGACAAAGATATAATTTTGCCAATTGCAATCCATTTTACATGAGCAACCACAGAGCAGAGAAAATTCAGTAGCTTCTTCCCCAACATATTCAGGGTGTTGGAAATGGTCACTGAAATGAAAGTTATGCCCCTCAAAGGAATCATCAACTGAGTGAGCTCAAAGGTCTCTTTAGTGCTGTGTCACTGTATGATTGCTGATTGCTAATTTATTGTTAGGATGTATGATTGTTATGACTGAATATTGTTTCTTTGTATCACCAGCAGACTGTATCAAGTTGAAAAAGCAATGTTATAATAAGCCACAAGATCTGGAGGGGGAGACTTTTCAAACTTATATATATTCAAGTTTGCTAGAGACAACTCACTAAATAACAATTCAACCTCGAAATACTTTTCAAGGAGCTTCCTTTTATTAGCGAAGTGGATTGTTCCCAATTTGATAGAGGATAAATACATATGAAATAAAAGGAAAAAGAACAGTTTTTTTCTCCATCACATTGAATATTTATTAATTTAATAGTTGTTAAATGTTTTTATACAGCGGCGCCTTGACATACGACAGAATAAGGATGATGTGATATTGTTTTCTACATCTGGAACAAAAGTGCACATACGCTAAGTAAACTCAAGTCTAACAAATTACACAGAAACTCTCAGAGATGTCTACCCAGTTCTTCATTTTTTAATCTCCAGGCCTTTGATCATCTTAGCTGTTCTTCTCTGAGCTTTTTCAGTGTTGTTCAGTGTCAGTTTGTTACATCAAAAACAGAAATAAAG